AGCCGGGAGTCCGAGAGAGCACAATTGGACTCGCTCTCTCTGGGTGGGTAGGATGGCCCCTCCTTCTCCCCCCATCACTCAGCGCGATGCTAGTCAGCGCAGGCGTCTGTTAGCTGACGTAGCAGATCTGGCGGTTGGCGCTTTCCTCCGAGCGCGTTCGGCTGTCCAGTGACGTTGCGTGAGCGGCAGTTCGAAAAGAAGCGGTGGTTGGCTTCACAGGTCTCGGAGGAAGCCCGTGTTAGCCTTCACCCTCCTAGCGTTGATAGCATCGTGTGATTGGGGGAGTCCTAACTAGCGGGTGGAATTGGAGACGGCTAAATTGGGGAGAAAAATCGGGTAAAACTAGCTGCAGTGTTTATGATTAGAAAAGTTTTATACAACCACACACCTACAATGGTTTAAGAGAGTACAGGCATTGGCTTTGCTTGCAAATACATACTGCATGATTATGCATACTTATGAACTATAGCAAAACTAACATATCATTAACATTCAGTATTTGTCAATTATATTGAGTAATATGAGTAACCTTGTTCTCTTCAGGTGCAGATTCAGGTCACAGAGGTGTACCCCTTCAGTCTGGGCATCACCTTCTAGCTGCCCAAAATCAGCCTCAACAACAGCAGCCACAGCCTCCTTTGCCTTTCTCCAGCTCCCCATCTCCTGCCAACTACCCCAGATTCCCCAATACTCCAGGATCTTTTCCTAGCACTTCTAAACCAGCCAACATTTTCCCTCAGCCACCTGGCTCAGCTAGCCCTTACCACTCCCCTTTAACAGTCCCCAGCTCCTACATGAATGGGTCAAATGCACCAAGCACCTACCCTGGGTCTCTGACACCTAACAACCTGTACCCTGGTTACCAGTGTAATGGAGGTATGCCCATGGACAACTACCACCCTTTTTACTCCAATCCAAAGCACCTAGACATGTACAGGCAACAAAGGCCACCTGTGTACCCTGACCAACAGTTTGGGCCCCACCAACGTTACAGTGTTGAATATGCTCCACGCTATGGTGAGCCAAGCTTACCTGTCAATGGTTATGGCAGCTGCAACATGAGACCCAGCATGCATCACATGGGGCACTATCCTGGCTACAGTCCTAATGGGGGCCCTGATCCACAGTTTGTAGATGTTATCTCCAGACCTCCCTCAGCCCACTCAAGCCTGGACTATGCAGCTGCAAATAAATGCAGCCAGTTTGGAAGATACCCCAATCCCTACTTGGCCCAAAACCCTCAGATGTTCCCCCCAAATCTGAATCCATTAAGTATGCAAAACAAGCCAGATATGAGCTTGCACAGAGCAAACGGAATCCCTCAGGTGCTTCCCCCTTTGAGCAGTGATTGCCTAAATCCCAGCCAACCTGCAGGCATGGGTCTGCCCAATGGAAATCTCCCATCCCCTATGGTCAAACAGGAGCCAGGCATTCTGACGCCTGCCCCTAAGGAGGAGGAGGATGTGTGGTCAGACAATGAACACAATTTCCTTGATCCAGAGATTGGTGGGGTAGCAGTGGCACCAAGCCATGGCTCAATCCTCATAGAGTGCGCCAAACGTGAGCTGCACGCAACCACACCACTCAAGAAACCTGATCGTAACCACCCAACCCGCATCTCATTGGTCTTCTACCAGCATAAGAACATGAATGAAGCAAAACATGGGCTGGCATTATGGGAGGCCAAGATGGCAGAGAAGGCGCGGGAAAAGGAGGAGGACGCTGAGAAGCATGGTGCTGACAGCACACACAGCAAGAGTGGTGGCAAGAAGGTGAAGAGAGAACATCCAGAACCTTCAGAAACCTCGGAGCCACCGTATAAGCGTTTCATCCAGATGCTCACTGAAAAATCAATGTCCCGCACCACCAACACTTACATCAGCTCAGCTCCCTATGCCTTTACCAAGGTCACTGGGCCTTACAACTGCTTCCTGTAGGGACCTACTTTTGGTTTACATCATCCTCACTTGGAAGGACAAAAAGTGTCAGCCAAGTGAAATGGTGCTACAGTATTGTGTTGCTGACCTCAGTGCCACTGGCTGTATTTGATCCAGAAATCGTTCAGCTTCAATTTCTATGATGTAAGTGATGACAGATCCACACTATGAGAAACAGCAGAATGGACGATCAGCAAGGTTACACATCAGGTCTGTCAGCTCGTGAAAGATCAAGCTTTACTGGTTGACCTTTAAAAGTATTTATTTATTGTATGGTTATTCTTTCAAGATAACACACTGTACTTCTTTGGTGCTTCAAATCTTCTGGACATATATTACTGGAAACAGAGTTTCATCTTTGGTGGCTTTAATTTTACAGTAAAACATCATTTATCATGACCTAAAGGTAAAATCTTGGCATAAAAACACTGACTTTGTGGCTAATCACTTTCAAGGTGCTAAGTGAACAGTGTCTTGAATATACACTTCTTGTTTCAATGCCTTCATAAAACAGTTTATTAATGTGTTACCTCAAAGAGTAAGCAATTATTTTCATGATTTATGTCATTCATAGCCATTTAGAAAATAACTTAAAGGAACAGATTTGTAGTGTTTTTAAAAGCACTTTTGAAGATGAGGGTTTTGTTCCTCACCCTCTGTTCAGAAAGCTGATCTAAGTAATTATTTAGGATGCCATTCAATCAGTGAAAGACTACATTCATTTTTTTCAGTTTTCCTAAAATAATGACGGTTGTAAAAGTTTGCAAAAGAAATGTGAACATCATGCAAAAGATTTTTTTTTTTAACAAAAGTATATTTCCCTGGTGCTTTCAATTTCACAGTCCTTTATATGTGCTTTGTATTTACTGTATATTGAGCCATTCTCAAGGTGCATTTTTGAAACAGTAATATTTTAGAGACAAAGCACAGTAATGGGGAACCTCGCCCATTAGTGCTATTTTACTGTCCACTATGATTTCAGAGTGATGGACCACAGGTCCATAACATATGCGTGGAGTCTGGGAATTACAGTTGTCACAGTGGAAATCATGTCCTCATTGCATTTGTTAAGGAACATATAACAGGGTTAGCTGTTTGTCAGTTACACAGTTTCCAAGGCAGCTGGCTTGCTGTGGGGGTCCTTTAATAATTGTAATCTAGATGTATGATAAAAAGGTGAGATTTGTACAGTAAATTAATTCCTCTCTTTTCTGAAACTGCTTTAGATTTTAGTACTGTAAAGGAGAGTAATATTTCTTTGGGGTTGAACTGATTTTATTTCAAAATGGTGCTACTTGACCTGCTATAAACATATAATGTGAGAATCTCTATGGGTGGTGAGAAGGCTTATAAATGATGTACAGAACCTACTTGTCATATACCTCAGAACATTTTTGGCAATAGGATTATACCAAGGTGTCTCTTTCTTTTTTTGTTCTTCTGCATTCAGAACTCTTTTCAAACACTTTCAGCAAAGGTAACCCAAACCTTTAGGTCATCGCAATGCTTAGTTCATCACTTACTTTCTTCACACTTGATCTATTAGAAAGTACTACTTGAACTTCAGGCTTCGATGTTATAGCAGAATCAGGGATATTTCAGCTAATTTCTGTGCTTACACCCATCGCCTGTGTCGTCTCCTCTCGTTCAGGGATCGATTTTTGTATCTTGAATCCCTATGATTTACTTGTACATACTAAAAACACAGAAACTAACTTTGTAAAAACATTGAAATTACCTGCATTTTTGTACTTATGTTTTAAGTGGATAGTTGGTGAACCGTTTTAGAAGTAATTTGACGTACATTAATATGCACTGAGTTGACTAAAGGGAAGGTATGGCATTGACAAATACACAGAAAGGCATTTGCTTTTTAATAAAAATTCAAACCAGGGCAGTTAAAATGTTGGATGCACATCTGGGTGCATGTGTATAGTTTAAAGCAAAATGTATTTATAACCACTAAGCATTTGAAAAGATTTTAATGATTTTTCTTCCCTCCCTCTAATTCAACTAACTGCGACGTTTGCTGGCATATTGTTAATAAATTAGACAACTTGCCCTGCTAGCATTTGTAGAATAATTTTCTGAAAGCACTTCATTTCTTTTTTATGAAAAAGCAATGAATTAAGAATACAAAGAATACATTTATTTAAATTGAAAAAAGATTACTGTAAATGTGTTCAGAAATAAATTATGCCATGTTGTATATACAAATCCATTATTGTTCATTTTAAGTTCCAATATTGTAATGTCAAACAGTTTATGTGTGTAGTTTGTTAAATGTATCCATGAGCTTCTTTTCATTTAGCCATCAAAGGTTTTCCCCTTCAGATTTTACCTTCTGTGGTATAATCAGGTGTAACTGAAAGCAGTTCCCTCTCCCTTAATAGATTGGTCGCATAGCTACCACGCTTTCAGAAACCCTTTCAGTACCAGATTCCTTGTTAGCTGAATTATTTAGATAATTTGAGTAGTTTGGTAAAAGATTCCAATTTTGTAAATGAAATTAGTACGTTGAATTTTGGTGTACAGGACCCAGCTTGAGTAGCAGGTTGTGGAAAAGAGAAGCGAAAGAGGGTAGTTAGGACATAGCAGGTGAAAAGCATAGCCATACTTGAAGACGCTTCAGAGTGTTTGAGTGGAGTCAACTTTACTTGAATGACTTTCTGACTTTGACTAACACACACGGGGTGCACGGCTCTTACGTTAAGCTAGCGGTTTATGTACACGTGTTTTGCAGTTAGACACTAAAGTTTTAAATTGTGTTTTTTTTCTGCCTCTGTCCTGTTTTTTTACCGCTTCCCTTGTTCCTTCAAAGTTTGGTATGCTTAAAACGGAATTAAGGATGGATATACATACTGTAAGTATTGTAATGTACTGAAGTACTGAATGCAGTTTATTTGAAAGCTGTTTATTATATCATTCCTGATATTGCTGAGATGTGGGTGTTTTTAATAAAATTTATATTTATTTCAAGCATTTCAATTGTCATTTCTTTTGTAACTAATAAGTGTTCTGATTCCAACAGCAGCTTAAACTATGTGACAAAGACAAGAGAAGGACATGTAGATTCTATTTATTTATCAAAATAAAAAGTTATATGCATTTGGAACACTGAATAGTTAACACTAATTTCTGCCTTTGACATGCTTTTGGAAAACAAAACTTCATTGTGTGTTGTAACACCTGGCACAAAATTAAATGCACTTCTGTTTGGCTGTATATTGAAAAATTATTTGTTGAAGCAATGCAGAGCAAATTTGAGACAACAGTATGTAATAAAATATAGTATATCACTAGGGAAACAAAACTCCTTTGTTGGGGAATACAAAGAAATTATGATCCTCTAAAATTATATGCACCCATTTAAAACAAAAGAAAACTGTTTAAGTTAAAGACTGTGTCAGAGATCATACAGTACAAAACCTTTGGACTAATCAGTGTTTTAATGCAAGTGCTTTATACTCAATGTCTGTGAGAGGGTTGTGGTAACACCTTCACCTTTCGTCTACGATCACTGTGTCAGGAAATGCCAGTTATCCACTGTGGAAAAAACAAAAAATGAACAATGCTGATCATTTACATTGTCCTGGTTAAGCTTGACAGAAGTTAAAAATGTGTAAAACTTGAATTCAAGAGAGGAATGTAACGTTACCTTCTGCAGGAAGTGACAGAGCTTCTCCATATTCAGGAGCCTGTGACCAGAAAAAAAGTCTCAATGTATACATTTTACAGGCAGAAACTCAATTCCAAAGCATAAGCAGTGACTGTACTTCACTGAGGTTTGATAAGTTCGAACAAATGAAAACACTACTTGTGCTACAGTTAAACAATATTATCAAAAATATCCAGTGTTTCAAATACTGCAATTCACTAACTCCAATTAAACAGGTCTACTTATGCTCTTTTATAATGAAACATAGTTTATTAGCGTTCTTTAAATACTGACAATATCCACAATAAGCTCAGAAAAGTATATTGTGACATGATTTATCATCATTTAATATTATAATGATAAAATATTGCTCACCCTAGGCTAGAGCTGAAATTGCTTTACCATGGTAAAATTATATCAATTGCAAAGAATAAAATGTCTCTTTTTTCTGTGTAAGCTGGAAGAATGGTGAAATTATGGGGAAAATAATGTGGTGTTTATTTTTCTGAAACCCCTCCACCTAGAAGTGACACTGATTTGTGTAAAAAAAAAAAACCCTCTGCCTGATGCACTCGTACCAGTCCTTAATGTTTTAAATGCTTACCGCATTGACTATTGCGGCGGCCTCTGCATCACTGCACTGAAACGGGCTGTCGCATACTGCTGAGTTCTGACTACAGAGAAAAGAAGAATAAAAGTTAACTTTTAGTTACTGCTCTTAGTTTCCAGAATCAAAATTGCTTATTACCACAGCCAAGTAAGTTTTGACACACACCCTTAAGCTAAATAAAAAAAATATATAATTTTTTAAAAAAATGATAAACCAAATGATTCTTTGGAGCAATACCACAGACCACTTTTGGCTCCCTAAATATCCTTTCAGTGAATAGTTCCTCAAATTATTTTTTGTAAAAGAGATGTGTCAGTGTGAAGTTTACAGAACATCTACCTAATGTAAAGATTTTTTACCAGAACTTTACGTTTGCATATAACTAGCTCGTCTACTGTTACTAGAGTTTACATGGTTACTGAATAAGTGAATAGTGAACATTCGGGATACATCAATACCAGTTTTTGCAGATCGAGTACACACAGAGTACTGAGCAAAGAGAAACTTAGCAGCGCTGCTAACTCTGCTAATTGTGCAATGACGTTTAAAGGTACGTGGTGATAGACCGTATAGTCCTACTGTGTACATGTGTCCTGTTTTACCAAAAAAATCACAGTATTAATGTTTATACCTTGCTATCATATTTACTCAAACTGATTAAAGTTGGCATAGAGGGATTTTAGGAAAGCAGCAGTCAGTGTGTTTAACAACAGGCTAAAATCAAACAATGTACTCCTAACGAGAATCTGCCAAGGAGGAACGTTTAAAGTGACCAACAGCTTTGTATCAGACTGAAACTGAGTCAGTAACTTTTCTCTGTGTGAGCAGATACTGTGTTTGATCATTAGTGCGGCAGCGTACACTCAGATACACTCTGATGAAGTGCGAATAAATGAGCACGTTATCTGACTGATTATATACATATGTACATATGAAACATATATATATATATATATATACACACACACACACACACACACAAATATCAAAAATGTACATTAATCTAAAGCTTCAGGTTTAATGAAAGCTGTGCAAAACACAAAATATGTGAATACGAATGAACAGATAAAGTGTATGGGTGCAATTATTACCTAGTAAGTACAGACACTGCAACACAAACAAAGGTATGATATGTACACAGTAATTCCAGCTCATAAGGAACGTTTTGACATGTTAAATTAGTGACAGCAGTGAAAGGAAACTCACCAGATTATTTCTCCACATTTTGTCTGTTTGTGCACCAGGGCTTTCCAATAGTTGTGCGTTGATTTAATCACTTCCATGGCAAAGTCCTGTAACACACACAGTGGATAACCATGTAATTATAACCAAGCAGCTTAAACAAAAAAGCACTCTGGGGCTGAAACTTCAGTGAGTTTGATGTGCCACCCAGTTCAAAAGTCAATAACACAAAACCAAATTTGTTACAAACGTATAAAAGTATTCTTAATTAAGTGCTAATAAAAGTAATATCCAGAAGTTCTTGCAATATGAATATCTGGAATGAAGTTCTCATAAAATTAATTTACAGAACAACATTAAACTGAAACCAAGAAAGAAGTTATAATACAATTAATATCCAGATGGCCTGTATTTCCAAGTGGAGTTCAGATCTCAAGGCAAACAACTTTGCAAACATTACCACAAATACAAAGTCATGGTATGTAATTTATTAACTTCTTAATGTTCTCAAAAAGTTTATTATCTATTTCTAATATTTCACATTACGTGAGACATTATTCAGCTTTTGAATGTGTATTTTTTAGTGAGTTAGAGGCCATTTTTGACATGTTGCTTCATCATTAATTCTGTGGAATGCTGTATTGGATATTAATGTGTTCTTGTACCTTGTCTTTAAATTGACCGTTGAAAGCAAACTGGTTCTCTGGCTTGCCGTCTGGTATTTTATATTTTCTAAACCAGTCCACCGTGGCCTCCAGGTGACCTGGTCTGCTCAGACGAACATCTTCAATACCTAAAACAGTAGAAATAAAGCAATGTATTAACTGTTCCATTGAGATTATTGGACTATGTGACAATTACATATTAGAGCTGTAAAACTGACTTCACAGTGATTCACTTTGATTTGTTAGGAAACAGTTCAGTGCATCATGAAATCTCAAATTTCACCCTGAAGAGATTTAATTTAATTATTCTAGTTTGTATACACATTACAGAGACAATTATATGTAAAGCCATTTTGTCTGGTCAGAGAACAATTATTTCTGAAAACTAATGGTCAAAAAACATTAACATGAGAAAAACAAACACACCTAATTTAAAAGCTTTAGATTCTGGTTGATGCGTGTCCGCACAGTTCACAGTCAGTAAACTTACTGTTTAATTTGGAAGCATCTGGGTCATCAGTGTTGATGGCTATGACCTTCCAGTCAGTCTCTCCTTCATCAATCAGAGCCAAAATACCCAGAACTTTCACCTGAATCACTTGCCCAGCAGAGCACACCTGCACAACACAGGTACACATGAACACATGAAAAAAAACACACGCGCAGCAGGTGAAATGGGAAATACATTAAATTAATATTTAGTTTTACAGTACAGCCATGTTGTCAGCTAGTTTAGTAGGTTAGTTCTGTACTATGATCACTGTTACTTTTGGCATAATGATCAGTGGAACTACACTGGGAAATAACCCATTATGAGCGTACTTTTTAAACATTTCTAAGGACAGGCAGCTCATAGCAAGCAGCAGAAAACAGACTCAAAACACAGCAACAGCAAGTTCTGTCCGTTGTTGTTTGTACGACACTTGCTAGCTGGTTGCTTTGTGCACACACAAAAAGCAACACTAATAACAGAGTGGCACTTTGAAAGAGGCACTACTACAGAAACAGAGTGCTTCCAGCTTAGGCATCAAAAATACACCCTGATACAGCTCCCACATAACCCACTCATCCTCACACCAGTTTGAAAACCATTGGTCCAGGTTACCACACATACAGCAGTTATTTGCGCAACAAGTGGGCTTGAGTCATTTTAGAAGCTAGGTAGGTTTAATCAGTCCTACCTTGGAACCAATATCGCACACATCTATTGGGTCGTTGTCTCCACAGCAGTTGGTGTCTTTATCTGTGTGACTGGGATCCTCCCAAGTCTGTGAAGTGGAGGGGGGCATATTCTGAGCTTTTGATGAACAGACAAAATATTTCTGCACTGATGTAGTACTCTAAAGTACTCTGCAAAAGTCTTAGGCAGCCAAGACCATTGTTTAAAACTACTTATAAATAACAGCTTTCTCTGATGCCCTAAGAATTTTGCATAGTGTGTTTATTACTGGCTACAGATGTTAAAAACACCATGTTTCAGACCAAACTTACCTGCGGCAGTGCACCATAGTTCCAGATGTAGCCTTTATGTGGGAAAACATTTGCCACATAGCGAAGCTTGCCTTTCTTCATGTCCTGTTTGATGGGGTTCAGCACTTCCTTAGTGGCGATCTGCAATCATAGAGTTTTTAAAGTGGGATCTAACCAAAGCCATAATTCTTTACAATAACAGAAACATAACTGTGTTTACAGAGTAGCATGACTGTTACATTACAACTGATTAAACACCAGGAGTGAATATAAGAGTTAGCAGTGAGAGTTAGCAGCTGGGACTCGCACTACCATTAATATAAATTATTTAAAATATGCAAATATTTTGAATTCATCTTCAGACTTCTTCCAGTGACTGATCATTTAGATTAAAAAAAAACGTCGGCATCTCCTCGTTTTTACATAAAGTTATTTTATTTGCATAAATAGTTATTGTATACAGAATTATAACAGTGTAGATTTATATACTATAATCTCAACACCAAAAGGAATGTTTAATTTTATACAGGATATCAGGTATTTGGGGAGAACAAGAAGTCTGTTAAATAAAACTTTGTAAATAAGCTTGTAAATGTTCAATGACACACTGTAATAATCTATTCACCATTTTTTTACTTTAATTCAAGGCACTCTGGATGTTAAGATTATTATAACTGGTTTAATATTATTGACAGCATTGAACCCAACCATTCCAAACAGCAATGTTTATTCTCTTTAACTTACCTCCATCTTGGCATTTGACCAGCGGGGAACTTCTACAACCATATTTAAGAGAAGCTGCAGAGTCAAGACAAACACAATCTCAGTATTTACATTGAAATATTCTGCTGTCAAAGTCAACCTGAAATCAAAAATGTACCTTTTTACCTTGTAAGTTCAAATTTCTGGTCATATCAAGATGAAACGTTTGCTTTTCTGTAATCTTCAATCTAAATGTAATGACTTTTGCTGTGCCTCTAAAATGTCTTGTGATTTTTTTATTACGTCACCATGCACAAAAAAATATTAGAGGCCAACTTTGCCAATTTAACTTAGCAACACAGAGCAATGAATCTAAATTAAGATGCATGACTTTCCTTCCAGTCATGCACACCAACTAGGTCAATTGATAAATTGTGGGTAAAAATCCCATTCACCATAATGAGAAACTGTATCACACAACTCAGCTTTTACCACAATACCTACATTTAGAGCATATTACTAATTTCTAATTATATATCTTTTGTATGTGTGTGAAAGATCACATTGATAGATTTTTTTTGTCATTCAATTAAGCTAACGTTAGCACGTTTGCTAATTCATTGTTGTTTTTTCAACCTACTTAGATTCGTTTTGTTGCAGCAACACATTCCAACAAGGTAATGCAGCATTTTAAACTATAAAATTATATATTAAAAAATGTAGCAATTCTAAACTCCAAACTAAATTCATTTAGATAAATGGAACCACTACCAGAGTTCTGTAAAGCTTCTCCAATCTCTCAATAGCAGCTATCAAATAGCACATTTGTGGGTGGAGTATGGACAGTAGCTACTAGACACCACCAATTAATGTAAAAACATAATTAAGTGTTTACATGAAAAATTATCGATCGGTTGTAAAGTTCAAGCAAACCTCATTGTCATCTCTTTTCTGCTTCTTTGTTGGTACATCATTATCCTGAAATAAGATAAATGAAGTTAATTTAGAAAATATTTGTAGAATGTATAACAAGCATGATAGTCTGCAATGAAGATAAACATAACAATGTTTAAGAAGAACTTAATCTCAACATAATATCTGAGTCCAGGTGTAATAGTACACTTTGTCACTCTATATGAAAACACACCTGTTGATCAGCTGCATACAGGGGGATGTCGTGAAAGGGTGAAATGTATTTACCACTGGAAGTTTCTGTGGAGTAAGAGTGACACAGTTTTAGCTGACATGGAAAGTACCCAAAAGAAAAGGGTCATGGAAAGTACCCCAAGAATTTAGCAGCGTACATCATTTTAAATGACGACCAAGAGAAGCTGAAGACAATATAGACTAATAGTGTTCAAGACTGTGTTGATGTTGGCTGTGTTTAGGTCCAAACTACCGTGCGGATCCTATGATATGGTACTAATCAGCGATGTGAAGGTTGGTGAGCAAAACTGCCTGAAACTTGTATTAACATACTCAACTCTTATATATCTACATCTTAAGTGTTACATTTCCTTCGGTCCAGATGTTCATTAAGTTTGAGCAAAAATATTAAATGTAGTCTTTTAGTCAAGCGGGATCACTAATTTAAAACATAATAATAAGAAAATCCAAACATGATTGTGAATAAAAGTATGAAAATGACAAAATCAAATCATAACATTTTAAAGATGTTAATTCAAGGTGTAACTATAGAAAATCTCGTCACTTTACACAATTCAGAACAAGCTCTGTTGTATGTTTTCTCATCTCACTAAATGTAGCTTTTGGACCTGAATGGGTTAAATCTGCAGTATACATTCAGAGCCTCTACAAACCTGCAGCAACTTCTCGATCTGTTTACTGGCAATGTGTTGTTTATGGTTCTATATAGCACCAAAAAAGGTTCTGCTACTGTTACAATGTCAAGTTTGTAACAACAGAAGAAGCTTTTTGGTGCTATATAGAATCATAACCACAACACATTCTCCATCAATCTGAATAACCTTTTCACCATGTAAAGAACCATTTTAGCATGAAATAGAGAGCTCGTTGTTTTATTTAGAGCCATTCCGTTTACTAAAGAACCTTTAAAGAGTGTATATTTATAAGTACACAAACCTTCATCACTTTAAAACCATCACAGCAAGCTCTGCGGCATTTTTTCTCATCATAGTAAACCTAACTGTTGCTGATGGGCATTAATGGATTAAAAGGTTTAGTTAAATGGCTGTGTGAATGGCTACCACAGATTATTTATATATATATATATATATATATATATATATATGGTAAACCTGCATGTCTCCTCTCACTGAACGCTACAGCTAGAACCGTTGGTCTCGCGAGACATCAGCGTGAACGGTCCGTTCCAATCCGCTCACTTGACTCTACTACACTTAGCGATAGCAACGACAGTAGCGTACTTGCGTTCTACAATACTTAGCTCGTGCTTGTATTCTAAACCAAAACGTTTCCGACAAGTACCTGGTGTAGCAGGTTAAAGGACGATTTTAGGCGCACTAAGCAGTGGCGCACTAGTAGGTTTACAGCAGTGTTAGTGCAGGAGTGTACTAGGTAGTGTACAATCGAAACTCAAAACACAGCAATCGGAATTCAGCCAGCGTCAAGTCTCGTTACAAGCGAAGTTGCACGTGATGATTCTGCTTCCTCCAAACCCTTATCATCTTTTCCTTCCATAAGTTGCTGAATTTTCCAGCAGCATCTATTAGTGCACTGTTTCTCAATCTCTACACAGTTTAGTGCTCTCCTGCTGTCATATTCTACATTTTACGTTTCAACCTGATGCGCGTACAGCTCAGTGCAGCCGGCTACAGGACTGAGAACTCTGCCCATTATTGACCTTTCTGTTTGTTTGCTGCTCAAGCCGTGCGCAGCTCACTTACTAAAGTAAATCCTGTAGTCGGCTGAGTGCGGGCGGCCCCTCTCCTCTGTCCGGTAATGCAGCATTTTAACAGTACCGACCCCACTAAAGCCACTAAAACCTCCCAAACTGCCCACACCGGCAGGACGGAGAATCTCAGCTCCGAGGCGCGCGGACCAACGGAACAGCGCGCGCATTATCTTCCCGTGCGTCGCTTCCTGCTCGCGTGGCAAGCGGTAGAAGGGCCACTTTTTTATTTACACCCGTTTTCGACCGCTCCTGTGCTGGGATTGGCTAGGAAAACCGGAACATGCTCAGCACCCCCAGCGCCGGGATTGGCTTGCAGTTTATTCTCGCGCTCTCAAAAAGACGTGTTAAAAACATTTTTTGAGATGACTTATCTAAAAAAAACTGCTCTAAATGATCTTACAAATTGTGCTATCATGGAGTGCCGGTCGAAAGTCTTTATTTTTGTTCTCCTTCACTTACCCTTTTTTGTCTTACTCTTTGTCTGCTATGCAAACATAGAACAACGTTCTTTTGTACACTGAACTCTAGAACACGAAGCAAAGCATTCTGGATTGCTATATTCAAAGATGGTTCTTCAACGGTTCTTTTTTGAAAATGGTTCTATATAGCACCAAAAAGGGTTGGTCTATTGTTATAGGCTTGAAATTATAACAATTGAAGAACCCCTTTTGGTGCCATACAGCACTATTTCCGAAAAAAAAATTATAAAGAACCATAGGCCTAAGATGGACTGGCAGCCTGTCCAGGGTGTTTCCTGCCTTCCGAACAATGAACGCTGGGATAGGCGCCAGCTCCCCCCGCGACCCATAAGGATAAGCGGCTTAGTGTGTGTGTGTGTGTGTGTCTGTGTGTGTGTGTGTGTGTGTGTGTAGTACCATATACAGCATATTCTCTACCGATCTGAAGAACCATTTCATGTTTAAAGGGTTCTTTGCATGTTGCGTGTCTATATAGAACGCATGGTTCTAAGTAGAGCCAGTGCCTTTCCTAAAGAACCCCTAAAGAACCATCCTTTTGAGTGCGTAATATAGACCACTAGCCATCCTTGCGAAATAACGTGAATAACGTGAACGTCAATCCTCGAGCAGGGAACACAGTTAGCCAATCCGAGCACAGGAGGTGGGGCTTGTCGGAATACAGGTGGGAATAAATTCATTCGTTGTGTCGCTCTGCCATCTATTGGTCTGTAAAGGTACGGAGTTCCGTAAATGGAGAACATGGAGAACAAAATGGCTGCAGGAATATGATACAGAACACAAAGTGGCCGAATTTAAGAAATACACTTTTTTTGTTAGTGGTCAGACTTGTTCTTCATAAGTATTATGTCAGTTTGCTAATGTTTTGTCTGTTTATGGGTGTGTTGTATGTTGTGATCTTTCTGCATTTATTATGATGATCTCTGCTGAGCAATTAAGACTAAAATAAAAGTCTAAATTCCTTGTTAAAAAACTGTGGAGAGTTTCAATTTACATTTATTTAGAGAATATTTAGCCAGGACAATGATATTGTTTTTCCCACATTCATCTCCACTAATACTAATTGATCGCTCAGAAGTCTAAATGAACTAAGTCAACATTCTTCGAGGAGAACCAAATTATTCCAAAAAGTACAAGAACAAGCGCAACTAAAAATACGTCACAAAATGTGTAATATTAAGAATTCTTTAGAGGGAAAGATGTCATTTAACATCTGAAGCGGAAGCAGAATGAACTGGTCAAAGACGACAGTGGATCCACCGGAGGTTCCACTACAGGTTTAAAGTTTAAACAGCTAGAAAAGGAATCAACACCGGACCTGCTCCTTTAAAGTTTAATAATACCTGGAAGCGTAAACAGCCTCAGTGTTTACAGTGTGTATTTTAGGATTTTGTTGAAATGTATGTGGAGGCTTTTGGAGTTGAGAGGTAGGTGGATCTTAAAAGGACATTTTTTTTCTACATTTTTTTTGTTTTTGCGTGATTTAATGTTTGAGATGTAAACAGGCATTCGGAGTACTTTGATGTGAAATGATTCACTGTAAAGAAACTTTTTTTGGATTTTGGATTTCCCTACAGTGGTGATAGGAACCAGGGTCATAATGTCTACAACACAAATACAACTCTGAATGACTTTATTTACAGCTTATCCTTTTAATTACACACAGATTTAGAACAAAAATGATAAAAAGCCCTTTTAAAAAAAAGGATATAATTCATCAGAATCATTTTCCAAACTCTCCCTTTAATTATACCTAAACTAGGCATAATCTACACTCTCAGAAAAAACAGTACTAAACTGTCACTGAGGTGGTACCACTCCCCTCACAACTGCAGCATCCTGTTTTGGCTCTAGACTTTTTATTTTTATTTTTTTTTAAAGATTGGGTTATGAAAGTACAAATATACTTTCAGTGAAAAATCTATTTAAGCTACACTGTTGGACCTAAAACCATTGTTGTGTAAGGCTACATTTACATTGTTTGTACCTTGATGAAAGACAAATGTACTTTCTGACAGTATACAGTCATATTTCTTTGGAAAATTGTGTTGTATTACATCACTTTAATAAATTCCTTTTTTATTTAATAAAATTATTGAGTGGTGCAGTTACAGTTTCTCTTCTGCAGGTCGTTTATGGGTTCTGTAAGTTTAGCAATGTCACCTCCACTGCATTTTTGGTTTGTTTCTGGACTTGCTGCTGTTTACACACCAGCCTGTGTGTGCCGAGCCTTTGTTTGCTTTTACACACACGCTGGAGCTGGAGCTTTAGAAAGAGCCAACACCACACACACCAGCATGCAGGCTGTTTAGTGGCTGATCCATAAACACCAACATACCTGTTCCAGGTTCCAAAACACTTCTCTTTCATTCACTCTTCAGCAGAGCAGAGGTGTGTAGAGGAGTCTAAACCTATACTGCAGTTAACATATTGCTACTTCAATTAAATAATGACTGCTGTAAAGGGAAAAGTAGCAAAAAACAACTTGTGTGCTGGTGTGCAGAACTGCAGTAAGAGTGCCTTCCACAAATACTGGCACCCCTGGTAAAGCAAAACAGGCTGGAAAAAAAACATTCTTTATTGCTTATCATTATATCATTTTGACCTTCCATTCAAAATATTAACAAAAATCTAACCTTTATTTGAAGTAAAGTGATAAAAAAAACACTAAATCAGAAACTAAATACTTTTCTCAAATCTGTGTGTGCCACAGTTGTTGGCGCCCCTTCATTTAGTACTTTGTGCAGCCTCCCTTTGCAAAGATAACAGCTCTGAGTCTTCTCCTATTACATTAATGAGACTGCAGAACACAGGCAAAGGATCTGAGACCAGATACAGAACCTCTCCAGATCCTTCAGATTCTGAATTTTACAGTGTGGACTCTCCTCTTCAGCTCATCACACAGGTTTTCTATGGGGTTCAGGTCAGGAGACTGGGGTGGCCATTGCAAAACCTTAATTCTGTTACCAGCAAGCCATGTTTATTTTGATTTTGAGCTGTGCTTTGGATCACTGTCCTGCTGGAAGATCCAGACTGTTACCCAGTTTAAGCTTCCAGGCTGAGACAGTCAGGTTTTGATTTTGTTTTTGCTGGTACTTGAATGAGTCTGTGATACCACATATCTGAATAAACTGTCCAGGGCCTGTGGAAGAAAAACAGCCCCACAGTATCACAGATCCACCACCATACTTCACAGTGGGGATGATGTACTTTTCTGCGTGGGCTGCAGCTCACAGTTTTTACTGCAATACACAAACTAATGCACTCTGTCATAGTTTGAATTTATTAATTGTCGATTTAAATTTCTTCTATACTTCGGACGCTGTCGTACCTACCTTGTTTGGTGCAGCCTCTCAAACTTCTTTAGTTTCTTTAGTTTGGTTTGTTTTAGCATGTGAACACTCCACTTGTATTCCGTGCTGCACCAAACAACCCAAACATGAACCCCTGATTCAGTTCACTGCTGATGGGAGCTCATTTTTACAATGGTGCACACCAGACGACAGAATTCAACACCAGACTGTGCTTTTCTCAGTGCACATCAGCACTGTACTGACATTTAAATAGTGTAATATAGTTCCTGCAGTGTGAGCTTCTGATAATAACGACAGATGAGCAATAAAATAAAAGCAAAGATACACTTTTAATTTTGGCACATGAATCGCAAAACACATTTTTGGCCAAGAATCAGCGACCTAATTGGTTCAAAGTGGTAAATCAATCAGAAACAGATATCAAGTATAGTTTATTATTGCTCCTATATTTTGTAATACACATAGAAAATACACATCTCTGTTTTATGTGGTGTTAATAATTTATCTCATTAATGCATTATTATCATGTTCAAACTAAGACAGGGCTAAATCAAACAAAAAAGTGATGATACTTGCAATATTCTCAGAAAAGTGTATCATAACATAATTTGGCAATTTAGATGATTTAATCCTGTTGCCGACCCCTAAAAAGTACATTACTTTATTCACTGATATACTTGAATAGAAGTAAAGAAATTACCACCTGAAAGTACCAACTTATCAAAACTGTATTTCAGTACCTGGAACAGAGTAAATAAAACTAGGTACTACACACGTCTGCTCTTCATACCAGATCAAATCTATGACATCTTTTATTTATGCCCTAAAGGCCTTCTGACGTTCTAGTAAGCTGTTATAGAGACTGTGTCTAAATGAGGCTCATTTCAGCCTCTATTCTTTGTCCGCTGCTCCTCCCCATCTTCTTCTCAGTCTCCATGGTAACGCGCCCAGCACTTTTGTCAGTCTCCTTTTTTGTGTCTTCTTTTCTGGATTGTCCTGAAGGCTGTGGATTCGCAGCAGTAATTAAAGCCATCACTCTTCATCTGCTACCTCATCTCAGTGCTAAGAAAACACCAAATCTGATTCAGATACACTGCCTGACTGTCAAAAGATCCAGCTTTTCACAATGTTTATAATACAAATGATCACATTGATTTGCAGAAACTGGCCATATTAAGAAGAGATCTGTGGTTAGTATTGGGACAAAGTTTAAATTTACGATCAGAGGTAGGGTTAGGAATAGAACAAGGGTTAAACTTACGGCCAGAGCTAGGGTTAGGGTTAAGAAAATGGTTAAATGTGGGTCCAAAATGAGGGTTGGGATTAGGTATCGATTTTTTTAAGAAGAGATTTGTGTTTATTATTGGGACAAGGCTTACATTTAGACTTAGGTTTAGGTAAATCACAAGGGTTACACTCGAGGCCAGAGCTATGGTTAGGGTTAGGGAAATAGTTAAATGTATGTCCAAAATGAGTGTTGAGATTAGGTTTTGGATTGATTTTAACAAGAGATTTCTGGTTAATATTGGGACAAAGTTTCAATTTATGATCAGAGTTAGGGTTAGGAATAGGACAAGGGTTAAACTTAAGGCCAGAGCTAGGGTTAAGTTTAGGAAAATGGTTAAATGTAGGTCCAAAATGAGTGTTTGGATTAGGTTTTGGATTGATTTTAAGAATAGATTTGTGGTCAGTATTGGGACAAGGCCTAAATTTAGGACAAGAGGTAGGGTTAGGAATAGGACAAGGGTTAAAATCAATTCACAAGCTGGCCTAGGGTTAGGAATAGGACAAGGGTTAAATTTAAGGCCAGAGCTAGGGTTAAGGTTAGGACAATGGTTAAATGTGGGTCCAAAATGAGGGTTTTGGATTAATTTTAAGAAGACATTTGTGGTTAGTATTGGGACAAAGTTTATATTTATGATCAGAGTTTAGGAATAGGACAAGGGTTTCAGTCAAGGCCAGATCTACCGTTAGGATTAGGAATATGGTTAAAAATAGATCCAAAATGAGGGTTGGGATAAGGTTTTGGATTGATTTTAAGAAGAGATTTGTGGTTAGTATTGGGACAAAGTTTAAAGTTACAATCAGAGCTAGGGTTCGGTATAGGACAAGGGTTATAATCAAGGCCAGAGCTAGGGTTAAGGTTAGGAAAATAGTTAAATGTATGTCCAAAATGAAGGTTGGCATTAGGTTTTGGATTGATTTTAAGAAGAGGTTTGTGGTTAATATTGGGACAAAGTTTAAATTTACGATCAGAAATAGGGATAGGTATAGGACAAGGGTTTCAGTCAAGGCCAGAGCTAGGATTAGGTGTAGGAAAATGGTTAAATGTATGTCCAAAATGAGGCTTGGGATTAGGTTTTGGATTGATTCTGAGAAGAGATTACTTTATCGTATTGGGACAAAGTTTAAATTTACAATCAGAAATAGGGAAAGGTATAGGACAAGGGTTACAGTCAAGGCCAGAACTACAGTTAGGATTAGGAAAATGGTTAAATGTAGGTCCAAAATGAGGGTTGGGATTAGGTTTTGGATTGATTTTAAGAAGAGATTTGTGGTTAGTATTCGGACAAAGTTTAAATTTACGATCAGTACTAGGATTAGGAATAGGACAAGGGTTAAATTTAAGGCCAGAGCTAGGATTAGGTTTAGGAAAATAGTTAAATGTATGTCCAAAGTGAGAATTGGGATTAGGTTTTGGATTGATTCTAAGAAGAGATTATGTTTTTGTATTGGGATAAAGTTTAAATTTAGGATCAAGGGTAGGGTTAGGTATAGGACAAGGGTTACACTCAAGGCCAGAGCTAGGGTTAGGTTTAGGAAAATGATTAAATGTAGGACCAAAATGACGGTTGGGATTAGGTTTCGGATTGATTATAAGAAGAGATTTGTGGTTAGTATTGGGTCAAGGCTTAAATTTATGATTAAAGGTAGGGTTGGGAATATGACCAGGGTTAAACTTAAGGCCAGAGCTAGGGTTGGCATTACGTTTTGGATTGATTTTAAAAAGAGATTTGTGGTTAGTATTGGGACAAAGTTTAAAATTATGATCAGAGCTAGGGTTCGGTATAGGACAAGGGTTACAGTCAAGGCCAGAGCTAGGGTTAAGGTTAGAAAAATAGTTAAATGTAGGTCCAAAATGAGGATTGGGATTAGGTTTTGGATTGATTATAAGAAGAGATTTGTGGTTAGTATTGGGTCAAGGCTTAAATTTATGATTAAAGATAGGATTAGGAATAGGACAAGGGTTAAATTTAAGGCCAGAGCTAGGGTTGGCATTAGGTTTTGGATTGATTTTAAGAAGAGATTTGTGGTTAGTATTGGGACAAAGTTTCAATTTATGATCAGAAATAGGGATAGGTATAGGACCAGGGTTTCAGTCAAGGCCAGAGGTAGGATTAGGTTTAGGAAAATGGTTAAATGTATGTCCAAAATGAGAATTGGGATTAGGTTTTGGATTGATTTTAAGAAGAGATTGGTTTTTCGTATTGGGATGAAGTTTAAATTTACGATCAGAAATAGGGATAGGTATAGGACAAGGGTATCAGTCAAGGCCAGAGCTACAGTTAGGGTTAGGAAAATGGTTAAATATAGATCCCAAATGAGGGTTGGGATTAGGTTTTGGATTGATTTTAGGAAGAGATTTGTAGTTAGTATTGGGACAAAGTTTAAATTTACGATCAGAGCTAGGGTTAGGAATAGGACCAGGGTTAAACTTAAGGCCAGAGCTAGGTTTAGGGTTAGGAAAATAGTTAAATGTAGGTCCAAAATGAGGGTTGGGATGAGGTTTTGGATTGATTTTATAGACTAATCAGATGTATTTAGCAGCAAAATATCATACGTAAATATTTGTGTCAATATTAGTGACAGTGCTGCTTTGGAAATAAAGCTGAAGGCTACACATTTTATCCCCTTATTGTAATATCAGCACTCATCAGCACTCAACCCTTTCAGGTGGCTGGGCCAAAAGAGTTTCAATATGTGCTTTTAACAATACGTTAGAAATTAAATCAAATCATCATTTAGGCAAAACCTGCTCTTCATACCACAGAAGACACTTTGAGACTTTGCAAGGATGTCTTTTCTTACTTCACTGAAAAGTAACAGCAAGAAAATCCTAATTTCAAAAGAAGGTGAAGCGTCTCATAGTTTTGAATGGCAGTCTCTCTCTCTCTCTCTCTCTCTCTCTCTCTCTCTATTGTTCTGCATCTCCTAGGATTTTTGTTCAAACAAAACGGGGCAATGTCAAAGTCCATAAACCAACCTGTGTGATGTGTGCTGTGTGAGATTTGCTACAATCTCAATGTGCTGTTTTACAAATGTGTGTGCGTGTGTGTGTGTCTTTGCACATTTTTTATACAAAAACATCCAGACTGTGGGAAACTCAGGACTAATCAGGACTAATCAGGACATTTTCAGTGTCAGGTAGAATACAGAAACACATATTTAACAGACAATTACACCGGAGCCGTAATAACTAAATATAATATTGGTTGTTTGGGTATTTAGTGTGTCCACTCTTTGACTTTTTTACAGCTTTCATTCTTTTCAGGAGACTTGTTTTCATTTTTTTTTAAAGAAATCTGCAGGGGTATTTTTGGTGCATTCTAAGAAGTTGGTTGCATTTTCTGCTTCTCACAACCTACGTAATCCAAACACATTCAGTGATGTTGAGGTCTGGACTCTTGGGTGGACAGTCCATTGTTCTGAGAACACCAGCAGCTTCTGTGTTTTTGTCTGTTTACTTTTCTCAGCAATGGCTTCCACTCAGACGCATAGTGTTGAGGTGTCCTCTCACAGTGGAAGGATAGACAGAAACATCTGTGGATTTTTTCCGAACTAAAGCATGAGTGGGTCTTGATTTCTTCTCTCCTTCAAAGATTTAAGTACTGTTTATCTGATGGTGACCTACCAGGGGTTTTGGTGGTCTACCAGGTCTTGTATGGTTGTTCAGAGTCCCACTTTCTCTTGTATATTTAATTAATTTTTGCACTCCAGTGTTGAAACCTCTTGTTTTTTTCACTCATTTTCCTGTGACGTTCCCATTCTCTATGCAAGTAGAATATCTTATAATGAATCTATCTGAAATATCTCCTAAAATCAATAACTTTAATTAAATAAATGAAGTGTGGACTCTGGATTAGGAACAGTACTATGTATAATATGGGACATATTAGTGTGTGTGCATGCATATATATTAGGGGCTTATTATTATTATATCATCTGTAGACACTTACGTATGCAGCACATACTTATACAGTTTTGGTGTAACACATACAGAAGGGCATAGGGCCATGAATAAAAATGTGTGTGTGTTTGTTTCATGTTGGTGAAACTCCCACATCATCAGCTGTTTCACTCTGCCAGAGTAGATTTGCACTGTTTAATGCACAATATTGACTGGTGTAGGCGTGTGTGATTACAGTCAGGATCACATGTCTTATACACGAACACTGTGTCCTGTTATTGACAGAGGAGTAAAGGAAACAGACAGAGTATGCAGTGTCTGTTCGACTACGCTGATGAGTTAGCCCCACTGTTATGAAAAAGACTATCCAGTGCTAAGATATGTTAGCTATAATCGTTTGTCATGTTGACTATAATTAACATGTAAGGTACTTTTTATTAATTTTTTTGTTTTACTATGCATACTAGACTCTATCTGAGTAAAGTCCCACGCAGAGTGGTTTGCGCTGGCGCTAAGTAGGGTAGCCTGTCACGCACCACAATATCATGATGCTACCGTATGCTGCACTGTCTGGTTAGCGCCAATCATTAGGCTTTGATATTTTGATGATTAGGTGGGAAGGACTGGGAAGTTTGCTACTTCCAAGTGAAAAAAGCCCAGTTGAATGAATTCCAACTATTTTCTCAGGAGCCTCAACTTTTGAAATTTGCAATTATGTGATGTCAGCCAAAGAAGAAGGAGTAAAAGGATGATTTAAGCTTTTTAGCAGACTTTAAAGCTTCTGTTTGAGAATGATATGCTAAACACAGAGCAACACTTGGAAAACTGAGCTTTCATTTTCCGGGCTACATTGTCATAGCCTACATCTGTTTTTAGAATAAACTAAGTACTAACATAACCACTTTCTTGTTCTTCCAGAGCTTTTTATTACACACACAGCAACCAAACAATTACTAACTTAAAAGGAGTGTCCATTTTTTCCAGGCTCAACCAGCTGAGGTGGGAATTTGGAGGTTCCAGGTTGGAAAATTCTGAATTCCTCGGTGTCATGAATGCAGAATGAAGCTGCACATGGGGACGAGGAACGATGGAGAAGGAATTTTTTATGTTGTTGAACTTATATTGTTTCTGTTCAGACTGTTCCAAAAGAAGAAGCATCTCTTTAATTCATCCCTGGACATCCCTGGAAAGTTTATTGTTGAAGAATATTGTTAATACTATTGTTAATAATTCATAGCAGTTACTGCATAATTCATAGTAGATATTAAATAATTCATTCTTAGCTAATTTTACAGTGCTAAAAGGTGTGGCATGGTGTGGATTCTGGAATTAAGGAGTTTCATTCCACAACGCTGTATATCCATATGTAACAATTTTGGGTAATAGGTTTTGAAAAGAATAACAGCTGACATAAAATAGAAAACACCTTTTTATTACTCTTATAAAAGTGGTATTACTCATAATGTAAGATTGCAATTTATTGTAAGTGTAAAGCCCACTCCCAACAACATATATCATGAAAAAAAGGAAAATTCTTGAAAGTGCTTTATAATGCGTTTTGGAATGAAACCCTTTAATTGTCTTACACCCAATGTGTTAGTAAATTCCTACTTTGGGGTGCAATCTATCTGGAGACTGGTAGAAGTGTGTATAACCTCTCCAAGGTCTTCCAAAAGAGAGATTAGGCATTTCAGAACCGACTGATCAGTACAATGTTAAGTGATGAAAACTGTTGTAATTAACTTTAGGATACCGAACCAATAACAAAAGGGTACAATAAACACCAATTAAGTGCACTGTGAAAATAAGACCAGTGCTGCAAACAGTGCACACTTTTTGGTGTAGTGAGTAGCATCTGAGTGGTGTTACAAATTTTATAACAAAAACAAAAATCTTAACAACTGCAAAAACAACTTATAGCAGTTCTTGAGTAATTCTATGCAGTTCCCGAGTAGTTAATAGTACTAGGAATGCACCAATCCACATTTTCCTCTCTTGGTACCAGGATATCTGAACTCTGTTAAGGGCTAATACTGATGCAATACCAGTACCCTGTTAAGGCAAAACACAGAAAATGATTGCAATTCTGAAATGATATGCATTGTTACAGTTTTATAATAACCATGAAGAGGAAACATTATTAAACATAGATCCATCCATTTACCAATGCTGATCCAGTAGGTCAGATCTGTGCATTACTAGTAGTTCCTGAATAATTCGTGGTAATAACTGAGTACTAAGTCTTACAATGAAAGCAGTTTGATAGTAATTCAGTTTGAGATTACTCTCTTCATTCTAGATGTAAATGTGTGAGCTGTTGTGTGTTCAAACACAACAACAGAAACCCAATCTGGTCCTGTACGGTGTGTGTCGCTCTGAGCAGTCTTTATTAGCACAGCCCTGCCATGCTAGAGTATCACTGTCACTGCCCTTACAGCAGGTGACCATTCCAGAATAACCTGAACGAAATTTGTCCCTCATGAAAGTAGAGCTAATGCAGCCTGACCAGAGAAGTTACTATAGCTGTGCATAGAGCATAATAGACCGATAAAAATTTCAAAAGAAGACAATTACTGTTTATTTGTTAAATTTAGTCCTGTGCAAAAGTGCAGCATATTTTATATTTTCCTATATGTTAAACTCAGCAAACATATATATAAATGGTGCACTAATTTGTGGAAAAATGCCACATTTTACTTTATTCCCGGTAAAGTATGTGTTCAGTTAAATTTACTTTGAAAATCAGTAAAAGATACAACTTGACCTAAACTTTTTACACATGACAGAACATCACTGTTTAAATTTTGCATACAATTGCATATTGTTGTATAAAAATGCATGTGATGTCATGTCAGTTCTGGTCGGATCACATTTTCTTTGATCACATTTTTACTGACAAAAGTGGTGAAACTAGCATATGCAGAAATGTTTATTAATGTGTTTTGTCCCTGTATACCTAAACTGAAAACAGTAAATTATTGACCTGTACATATGTGTACAGAAGGCAAGTGTGTTTTTGCTGTTCTTAGTCAGCTAAAGTTCTTGTTTGCTTTGCTCTTTCCCTCAAGGACGCAGCCTTTTTAACTGCAGCCAACTCAAGCTTAATGCCCTGATAACTAGGAGGCCCTTATATGACCTTATATGGCAGGCTATGGATGACCCTGACTATATGAATGAAATTATACTATTATAATACCACTGCTGTCTGAGGACTTTGCACTGTATGTCCAAGTGTTTGTGGGCATGGTGAGCTTAGGATCATCTGTGGCTCCATCAGAGAGTCTCTTTCTGTGTATGTGCAGTTGAACATCTAAATCAGCAATGACTGCACTTTAAAGTTGCTGAATTCACTAATTAGAAGGGTTGTCTGGATGCTTTTGGACAGGGAATCTATAAGACGAATAGAAAGAAAATGATAGTTTAATACATAAAATTTATTGAGTTATTTAAAAGTTCTCAAATCAAAGTCTCTTTTCTCTTGATGACCCGTTTCCCACACTGCTTTTTCACAGCCAATTTAGTAGTTTTAATATTGATTTTACTGAGTCACTGTAAAACTACATACAAGGTAAAATATAAGTTAATATCAGTAGAAACTTCAAATAAAGTATTTGTTTAATATTTATAACCTTTGTTTGGCCTTTTTCTTCTGCTCTTGAAGTCCTAAACAAAAGGTGAACTTAGCTATACCCCCATAAATACGAAAGAGAAAAGCAAGTTCTGATTGGCCAATTTTCCACTTGGCTTTTCAAGAACTGAACCCTTTTGTTTCCATCCAGATCTTAACAATCAAATGAGAGTAGTACTCGAATACTTGTAGAGTTTAAATAAAGCATGATTTTATTGACTATAAATGAGCTAAAAATTATAGACACATATTTTTAAAATCCCACAAATCATGCCACCTTCTCTGAAGGCCTTGAAGGGCCTAAGAGGAATTTCCCTCTAACAACATCCTAACAGCACAAGTAGAAATTAGCATTATCATAGAGGTGCCATGGCAACCATCTTTTTCTTTTACCAGACTCAATATATTCTGTAATTAAAACACCTAAAGCAGAGATTGTGTAGAGAGGAGAATTGCCGATCAATAATGTGTTCTGGGTTTGTCAAAACCTAGAGGGCGCTCCTGAGCGAGTGTAAGATGAATGGGTTCCAAAGGAGCATTTTTTTGAGCAATTTCTTGAACACAGAACAACACAGAATATTTCAACATTGCTGTTATGTTTTTGAATGCTTTTGAACTCCAATTACAGGACTTTTGAACAGCATGTAAGTTCATACATCATCAGTGAGTGTGAAACGCTTTACTCAGCCAATCAGCTGCTCCACTCGCCAAACAATAATCTTCCAGTAGAAGTAAAGTTAGTGTTTCTACTGCCCCATACCTGTTTGCTTTAGAGACAAGTATGTTTTCTTAGATTTTAAATGGAATACATCCTCCTACTTTTCAAAACTGAAGGAAAGTCCCAAACAAATGGTTAGAAAAAAGTTCATTTTTTCATTTTCAGTCATTTAGCTCCATTCACCCCAATTCATTGAGGAGTTGCTCGTGGGTGCTTTATGAAGTCATGTTTTTGATGTGATGGGATAAATAGGAAAAGGCCTGGCTCCCTTTAATCTGGCTCTGCTCTAAAGCTGGTCTAAGAGTCCTGCATAAACATAATGTAAATAATGCTATCCACATTGGCCATACTACACTGTAGCTAATATGATCATATACTGCATAAAAATAAAAAAGCGAGATATGTTTGTGGCTGTGATTTTGTGTTTCATTTTGACCATGACTATCAAGACTAAAGACTTCATACTTGTCTAACCACAAACCAAATAATTAGCATGCACTATGTGTTATGAATTTTTTACGTTTTCTCCTGGTGTTGTTTTTTCCTGTCATTGTGCTAAAATCACATTTACATTTACTCATCTTTCTGTGTAGACTGAGAGAGAGAGAGAGAGGGGGAGAGAGAGAGAGAGAGAGAGAGAGAGAGAAAGAGATAGCAGAGTCAGGCAGCATTCTGTGATGAACTGACAAGACAAAGTCTCTAATGATGTAGATCAAGGGGCAAATGTATCTTTGCTGATGTATTTTTAAGTAAATTGCGCTCCAGACATGGTAACTTTCATGTTTTTTCTATGAAATAATGATCTAAAAATTACATCAGAACACTTTTTAAAGTTTCCGCTGGAGTGACGCTCTGATGTCTTGGCTCACTTCATGTGAGGGGATGTATGTTTTGTCCATGTACAGCATCAGCGTGACAAAAGAACTTGGCATAAATCAGTATACCTGCTCATACCCCACCACTCACATTCTGATCAGATCACTTTGAAATTCTCAAAAAACAGAAAGTGAAAAACAATGACAGAATTATTGACCAGAGTTTATGGGGAAACTGTATAAGACTATAAGCTTATTTTACATATCACAGCCTTATACAGCCAGATAGGCTACCTCCACAACTGCAACAAAACAGTGTTTTATATGGGTAAACAGTAGGCTGTGGGTTCACACTTACGCTAACTACAGAAGCTCGCTGAGAGGCTTACTATAAAACATATGCAACAACTTTATATTTTTTTAATCTGCCACCAAGTTGAGTTGTGAAAAGCAGAGACTTTGGAAAGCAGATTTGGCAGCTGATAATAATGAGCCTGACATTCAGACATTCATCAATGTTTCCTTATTTGGGATTTGTTCTTACGTAAGAACAGAATCTACACACACTCAAGAGCACAAAGTTGTGAGCAATTCTGTGGCTTAAGAACATATCATGAGTCTGATTTAATTAGTTCAAGAGGTGATTTATTCTTATTATACTCTGTAACGTTCCGGTAAAACTTCAGTGCAAGTAAAAAATTAAAGTAGCAAAGTAAAAGGACTTTATTAGAAATGTGCTGAGCCCTTAAAGTGCCACTGTGAAAAAAATATTTGACACAGCATTGCATTCACTTGCAATAATTTTGTGTTTGCTTGCAAAATATTTGCCTTCCCTTGAAAACGTTTTGCGTTTCTCCCTCAAGGAAACGCAAAAAAATTATTGTTAAGTAACGCAATGTCTCTAGAGAAATTAACATATAAAATTCTATAAAATTATAAAAAACATTAAAAGTTTCTGTTGGTTTCTAGTGGTGTTCATTAGTCACTAATGGTATTTTGTGTTTTCCTGAGGGGTTGATATCACAGTGTAAAGGACCCTAATGGTTTAACAGGTGTTCTTGGCCTGATTCCAGAAGCATTTGATACTTTCCTAAAGGAATCTGAAGGTGTTCTACAGGAAACTAGGGGTTGCTAATGGGAACTGTCTTAATGGTTACCATTTGGGACCACTAGTTTCCTGAAAGCGAAACCATCAGGTTTTAATCCTAATAGTCTTTTTTCAGCATTAAAGTAACAGCACTATGATTTAATTCTACCATTAGAGGGAAAAATGTACTCTAACGAGAGTAAATGTCATTCACTGCCTTTCACCTCAGGAGGCCAGTGAGTGGAAGCATAAGGTAGGGGTTTCTAATTAAGTGGCCAGTCAGTCTAAGTATAAGGTAGGGGTTTCTAATAAAGTGTCCAGTCAGTCTAAGTGTAAGGTAGGTCTCTGCTCCATTTTCTGTGTTGATGGTAATAAAATCCTCCATCACAGATAAGGCTTTCCTTTATGTTTGGCTTGTTGTAACATTGACTCTGACGCACAGTGGCTTGCATATTTTTCCAGTGTTGACACAGGCATCAAGAAACTTTATGATGTCATTGAGCTGTAAGGTTTTTCTTCTACAGAATAACCCCAACCCCACCCTTCTGTTACACAGTTACAGCAAAATGAACATCCAGAATGCTTCATATTTCACAAGTTGTGATCAAATCTTGAAGCAGTTAAAAAAAAGACAATGAATCAATGTTTACAGCATTTATACTATTCTATTTATCTAATAAGATGTTCTTGTCCCCAAAAAATGAATATTGTGTTAAATAAATGCTAATAATTCATACATCAATAACATTATGTAACTTATTATTGTATATTAGTGTGTGTGTTTGCTGAGAGTTTAGTAAGATCACATGAGTCTCCATGGCTTGTATTCCTGTTGCCTCTTGGCCTCTGTTGTTAGGTTACCAATCTTGTGGTCATTCACCTTCAACACCAACAGACCCAAAGGATGTGGTTTCAAGAGAGCACTCTCACCCTGACACACATACATACACATGTACACACACATACACACACACATAGAACCCAGAACCTAACCTAACATTAAGTTAGCTGGTTGGCTAATGTTAGACACATTATTATTCACATGATAGCAATAATTTTTACAGCAGTAAGTTTTACACTGAATTGCATTTACTTGATTCAGATGTGTGATTCAGTTCCACATAAATGAAATACATTACATCAACACAGTTTTGCCAAAAGTAAGTTAAATAAACAAGTGTAACTGCATTGATCTAATATATCGCTACTGTCGGAACAAACCTTATATCTCCAAAATGATAACTTTATAAGAGAAGGACAAAACATGCTTTAAAAACATGCTTTAATTTCAATGGAAGTGTGTTATTTCTTTTGGTCCATTCATCATGAAATTTTCAAATTTTCAAATTATGTTAAAAACTGAAAAACGGCAAAAATGGAGATATACGGTTTTATCCTGACAACTTTTTTTCAGTCTGCTGCAAATGTTTACTAAGACTCTAAGAGGCACAATAAAGGATTCTTACAGCAACAACATTTCCATTATTTTGAGATATCTTTAAACTTTAAAACAGTTCTTCACACTCATATATCTCATTTCCAGCCAATGAAAGGTTTTTAGTAAAGCAAACTTCTAGGCGTCGTTCCAAAAAATTATTTTTGGCAACTTTATTTTTAGGAGTGTAGGCTAGCATCGTTTTGCACAAAATGAAGTTCTGTATGATAATGGAAAGTTTTAATGCTAATGACAACTAATGTTAGCTGACTAAGTCACTCCATTTCACTATTTATTTGGTAATGCAGAGCTAGAGAACTGTAAAGTTGCTGATTCTCATTAAATGCCATGAGTCGAATGCAAAGGTTTGGGCAGCCCTTGTTAGATTATATGTTTTGTTGATTTTATGAAAAAAAATTAAATAAAAAAAAAATAAAAATTTTACCTGCATGCAAGCCTTACATCACCAAGCACAATACCAAGCATCGGATGGAGTGGTGTAAAGCACGCTGCCACTAAACTCTGGAGCAGTGGAAACATATTCTGTGGAGTGACAAATCACGCTTCTCTATCTGGCAGTCTGACAGACGAGTCTGGGTTTGGCGAATGCCAGGAGAACGTTACTTGTCACAACTGCATTGTGCCAACTGTAAAGTTTGGTGGAGGTGGGATAATGCTAAAGGGTTGTTTTTCAGGGGTTGCCCTAGGTCCCTTAGTTCCAGTGAAGGAAAATCTTAATGCTGTAGCACACAAAGACATTTTGAACAATTGTATGCTTCTTTATAAGAACTTTGTGAGAACAGGTTGGGGAAGGCCCTTTTCTGTTCCCGCATGACTGAGCCCCAGTGCACAAAGCAAGGTCAATAAAGACATGGCTGGTTGACTTTGGCGTAGAAGAACTTGACTGGCCCACACAGAGCCCTGACCTCAACCCCCTCAAAC